TTAGAGGCTTTTCTATACGCGAATGGAAAATTTTCTCAGGAAAAACGAAGTCTCACAACACGGGTTTAGACAACAACTTTTAATCATCTTTCAACGATTTATAGTTGAAATGACGGGAAGGGATTCTGGAACTCAAGAAAAGTACGCAGAAAATCTTTTCCCCCCTACGTCACACGCAGTTTTTACTGTTTTTTTGACTGAATAAATCTAAATCTAAGTCCTCTGTTTCCGACTCTTCAGTCAGATTTCATGACCTGTTTCATTAGAGGGTCATCTTGATGACTAACTACATACTTTCCCATCCCGAATATTGCATTGTGTCAGGATGCTTTAATTTGTCAGACGTCTCTTTGTCCTTCCGTACGCGAGACAAAGTCTATGTACAACAGCTCGAGTGTCGGCGACATGATGCATTGTTAGCAGTTTTCTGTTTTTTTGATCCATGATTCGAATTTGTTGCTCAGTCCAGTCCACGAGTCCGAAACTGTACCCTACTACAGGCACCGCCAAACTACCAATTGCAGATATTTTATTCCAGGAGTTGGATTGCAGGACGAGTCTTATTCTTCTGTAATACAGCATACGAATTCTCTCTTTCATTGTGTCGTTCGAGAAGGTCTCACATTCTTCAATGCCCAGATATTTGTAAGTTTTACCTGGCTCAAGATCTTGAATCACAGTGTGCATATCAACTTCAATGCTATCTGACGTCACTTTGCCTCTCTTTACATTGATTTTTACACACTTATCAAAACCAAACTTCATGCAGATGTCATTGCTAAAGTTCTTCACGACAGAGCACATTTGAAAGAGAATTATTATTATTATTATTATTATTATTATTATTATTATTATTATTATTATTATTATTGTCTTACATTATTCACAGTATCTACTGGTCGGTATGTCAACCACACACAGGTATGATGACCAGGTGTGTGGTTGCTTTACTGAAGGTTCAGATGGCTTCTGACAATACGACATGTATTCAAAATTACTGTCTTTTGCATATTATATACATTCCTGGTATCCAAGTGAAGACACTCCAGTGCCCGAAGTGTCATTTTCGGGATCACTCCCGTAGCTGATATTATTATAGGCACAGTCGTCACTTTACTGAAGTTCCACTGAATTGCGACTTCATAGGCGAGATTGGTATACTTCTGGATCTTCTCTTGATATTTTCCCGATATGTTGTGGGTATTGGGTATTGATATATCGATAAGGAAAACCTGCTGTTGGTTTCTATCAATGTACGTTATATCTGGTCTATTGCCGCCGACATGTCTGTCAGTGATAATGGAACGATCCCAGTAGGGTATGTGCTCACTACTTTCAAGCACATTCTGAGGCACATATTTATAATACAGCACGGAAGTGGCGAGTAAGCCCGTTCTCAACGCCAATAATTGGTGTACCTGCTTCGCCACTTCATCATGCCTCTTTTTGTATTCCACCTGTGCGTGGCTGCTACATCCACTTGTCACGTGTTGGATAGTTTCGCTTGCAGCCTCACATCTTCTACACGAGTCGGAATGAATGGTAAAATCTCTCAGAAAGTGTTTTCTGTAGTTCAATGTTATTATTATTATTATTATTATTATTATTATTATTATTGACGTAATATTTTATTGTCCTAAATATCTAAACACAGGGGTCCTTTACATGTATTCTCTTACATAATAAAAAATATCCTAAATTGTTGATTGTGCTGTCAAATATTGATTAATTCGTTTATGCAATGAACGAAACACCATTTATCTAACTTAGTACATTATGTTCCTTTGCTCATTTCTAAACTTTCGCATTGCTTGTAGATAAGAATATCGTCCCATTATTATATCGTTTCTCTCTATCATTTCTGTCCTTTTTTCTCGCATTTCAAATTCAAATCCCATTTCTACCAATAAGCTGTAAAATGTATAATATTTAAAATATGGTAAATGTATATCATTAACATCTTTCACTACATACACGATTGATGCAGGGATGTTTAAAAATAGAAAGGCATATATTTTGAGACGTACCGTATGTACAAAATCGTCGTACTTTATTTCCCAACTGATTTGATACTTCCGTACAGTTAAATTTATTTTCCTCTGGGTCGGTATTTCTCCATTCTCATTTTCCGTTTTCATTCTAAAGATGTCTGCTTATACCTATTGCTCAGCAAAATTCATTCAAACGGTTGACTCCGTTTTTGGTTGTTTTCCTTATAAGTTCTCGCATTTTTTGAACATGTTTTTTACCACTCCTAATTATTTGACCCGTTTTCCCTGCGATCCGTATTGAGTAAATTACGTATCTACTTTTCTTTACCACTGCACATCCACCATCTTCACTCAAATCCACCAGCAAAATCCGACTGACCAGAATACCCAGCAAGATGAAATTCTGGAAATGTCTTCTGGTGATCTTTCGAGTATTGATTTGGATGGTCCCTTCCGCTGATAACATTATATAACAAACTATTCCTTTCAGTCCTACGGGTTACACATCATGCATCTGCCTGTGCCTTGTCTTTTCATCGCGTCTCCCGTCGAGCCCCACGTCGTCGTCTCATGTCGCGCGCAGCTGGACTTCAAGTCAAACATCAAACACAGAATTAATGCAGAAGTAATACTATTATCACCCAAGACCTTCGGGTGATAATAGAAAATAATTTCATCAATTTATCCAAAATTTTATCGCTGAAAGTTTTTAATTGGACTTCAAGAACGAAAATATCCCAATGACGATATATTTTAATGCAGAAATGAAATAATTCATACATTTTCGTTGACAATTCATTTTAAAGAAAAACACATTTTGACTATTGATGAAATGAAAGCATTTCCTCCAGCTGAAGTAACTGAAATATTGTATCGATTTTTTCCAAAATAATTTCACCAATTTTTTGATAAGTTTTAGAGGTCTGAATAAAAAGTTGTTCAAAATGTCAGTTCTGCAGAAATCCTGCGTTTTAATTATTTTATTTATGAAACAAATGAAAGACAAATTTTGCACTATTAACATCGTGTTCTCGTCATTTTCTCTACAGGATTTTTTGTACTTTTTATTTATTTATTTATTTATTTATTTATTTATTTATTTATTTATTTATTTATTTATTTATTTATAATGTACATATATTACATGTGAAATTTTTGTAGTGAGCTGTTGATACTGATGAATATGATTACTACATTGAATGTTGTGATCATAGACATCAGCGTTTGGTGAAAATATATTCCCGTCCTGACGTAAGGCATTTTTGACAAAACCTTAGATTCATATATCAAGAGACAAGATAATGATAAAATACTTAGATTGATGAAGGGAGGCTTACAAGAATCACGTGGGTGTTATTTGCTTATTATTCGTACAATTCTGTTTTGTAATATAAAAGTCTGGGAGCTATAAGATGTACTTCCCCAGAATAGTAGGCCATATCTAAAGCGAGAATGAACATTCGCGAAATATGCACAACGAGCAGTATGAAGGCTGAATGAATTTGAAAGAAGTCTGAAAGCGTAGCATAATGAAGTTAATTTAGTATTCAATTCATTTAAATGGATATTTCATTTAAGGTTTTCTAAATTGAAAGATTTAAAGATTTTGTTACCTTAACATCAGTCGATGGCACACCGTTTATTTTCAATGGGGTACATAGCTGTTTATTTTAAAATGGAAATCTGCATTGAAGCCGTTTTCTTTTGGTTTACTATTAATTTGTTATTACGGAATCAATTTGAAATATACGATATTGTACTATTTACGGTTTCTTTATTGCAAAGAATATTCGTATCATCCGCAAAGAGCACTGTTCTTCCGTTTCTAATCGTTGAGGGCATATTGTTTACGCATAGTAAGAAGATAATAGGGCCTAAAATCGATCCCTGCGGGACTCCACATGCAATTGGCGAAGAATCGGGAAGGTGTGTACATAATGTTCCATTATTCTCGTAAGGTATTTATACTCTCTGAGATCGTTGTTAAAGGTACGAATCTAACCAGTCTAGAGCAATACCACAAATTCCGTACGAAGGTAATTTTGAAAGTAAAATGTTATGATGAATAACGTCAAAAGCTTTTGAAAGAACTAAAAATATTCCAATAGGTGCTTCGTTTTGATCAATGGATAAGACGTCAAAATGACGAAAAAAAATATGTCTGTTTCCGCTTATTTTGATTTTTGAAACCCATGTTGGCAATCTGGAAAGGAGCCGTGCCTACTTTTGCAATAATCGATTTGACAATAGTGCACGAGATTATTCCATAAGAATAACATTGTGCCTTCACAGCGTGAAAATGAGTATAGGTGTCACACTAAGTACCCACTTACTTTTTATCTGCTCATACAAAACAGAAAAAAGCATGGCAGACCAGAGGTAGATGGTGAAGCTTGTTTCGTAGACAGAGCAAACTGTATACGGCAAACTGCCTTACGCTTCATAAAGCACTTATTAGGCCGCAAGTGCCGCATGCCCATACCGGGCAATTGCAGCAAATTCGTATTTGAAAAACCTGCGAATAGTTAAAATTTAATGCCTCAGGGCCGCCCCCGACCCCTATAGCGTATTTGCACCGCGATTTATCTATGTCACTGGTAACAGATCACATTAAAAACATTTGATTAATGTTTTGAAAAAGCAGCTAGTAAAAAAGTAGTGTAAGCGACCCAAACACTTACTGGCGTAAGAAAACTGGTATTGCAGTTTTGTTGCGCAGTGAGATTTGAAACATAAACTGTATTTTTGCACTCGCCAGTTGGCTAATGTACTGACTTTTGTTTGTCTTTTATGTTACTGAATTGGCCATAGATGCCCGTTAGGGTAGGTATGGCCTCACCGCAGTGGCGTGAAGGTGCATTGCACTTTCCGTGCGTTCACAAAACTACACAAATGAATGACAAACAGGCGATCCCTGCCTTGTCTATTCTAGCCTTGCCTCTTACAAAGCATAGTATTTAGCTTACTAATGTTTATCCGGCAATGGAAGTTACAGTGATTGCACACTCGTGAACTAGTAGTATAAAAATCGAATACTAATTCTTTGAGGAATCCTCGTTTAGCTTGTCATGTTTTTGTTAATTAATATTTCACGAGGGGAAACTTTTGGTTCATTAGTTGTCTATATTTAACTCGATTTTACTGTTTCATACGCTTATTTATATCTCAGTAAATTGCATTATGAAATTATTGTAAACAAACAACTCCATGCTTTGTGACGAGCAGAACTAATCGTTACACACTGTATCTTATTATGAATTTAGTAGATTAAAATAATTGTTTTGGTTGAATTTTCTCTGAAATATATTTGGTTTCGATTGTGGGTAATAATGTTTGGAGTGTAGAGTTGGCGGTGGTAGGCGGCGCCCGTAGTTCGAGATGAACGAAGCAGAACATACCACTATATGAGTTGTGTGGATTTGTTGGTTGTGATTGTCATGTAAGTTTTGTGAAGTTTGAAAGTCATATATTTTCGCGTTTTAAATGGGGGTTAGTGTCTATTTTTTCAAATTTCGTGTGTTTTGTCATTGATTAATGGCTAGTGCTTTGGTTAAGCTCTATTTTCAAAATACGAATTTTAAGTGATAATAATTTGAGGTTTTGTTTGTGTTCGTAAAATAATGCACATAAAATGTTTCCTGCTAGGTTAGTATGTTCTTTGTTGAAAAATAATTTGTATTATCGGGAGATTAAGTGGAAAGTTGTGCATTATATATACCAAATAAAGTTGGTGGCTGTAGCACCATTTGTATTTCTAAATACGATTCTTGCGTTTTTGGTAAGTTATATTAATTGCTTATTATAACTAAAGTTGGTAAAACTTAATAACCAAAAATTATTTTCTGAACTCGTATTGAAGATGAGAGGCAAATTTAAGGCAATCAATTAGTTATTAAATAGAAAATTGTTTTTATTGCATGAAATGTGTGAATGTCAAGTCAAGTGTGATATTACATTGTATCTGATGATGTGAATAATAAATCCACAAAACATAAAATCAAATTTGACCTTTGTCATTCACACGTATGATTCAATAAAAATTTCCTTTCAAGGAAATCATAATCAATTGTTTTTATCTAGCCAAGTTACCTCTTATCTACAATACGTTAATGTTGCGGACCTATTTTAAAAAAGTTGGTTTTGCATGACTTATTGTCATATATAAATACTTATTGAAGTGTGTTGCCATACGTGTTTACTATTTGCTTGACAATGTCACTTTATTATTTTGTGTCATTGAAGTGTTTTAAAATTATTCCGATAAACTTTCTATTCTGGTTTATTATAATTAAGAAATTGTATTTGATGTATTTTAAAATTGCATGAAGATTGAAGAAGTTAATGTACTGTGAATTGGGGATACTTTTACTGCATTTTAATTTCATTACATCATTTGCATGAGATTGTTAATGACAACTTTACTTTTTCTATCACTTATTTGGGGCTACAAGTAGTAAAATTGAATGTAAATGAATATCGCTACTAATAATGATAAATATGCAAAATATTTATCAAAAACTAGGTGGTCGAAGTTACCTGACAGTTACGGAAATGTTAATCATAGCTTTAAAATACATTATAAAGTCAATTTTAAATATTTGGTTTTGACGAGGCAAGAACAATTTGGCTTTTGTCTTCAGTATCTTCATCATTCACCTCTGCCCAAATAAATTTAGTTTGCATCTGTCTTAATTATTTTACACCACAACAATTTTGCTAAGTGGAAAAGTCTTGAACTTGTTTCACCTAGTGTTTGAATGGGCCATGATTCATTATAGGTCAGAGGCATGATTCAGTGTGTGAAGGCAGGGCAAGGGGGGGGGGGGGGGGACCGTCAAGAGGGGGGAAACTTCCCCTCCAGCATGGTGATAAAAATAAAATTTATGTATTTAGACATTTCATTTTTTAGTAAACTTTATTTAAGTGTTATAAAATGCGTGGAATTATGTTGTTCAATGATACTCTGAATTTCATTTATGAATCAATGTTACTGTGAATATCTCGTATCAATAAATCATCTTTCAAATATATTTAACTTTTGAACGTTATTTACTTAGAAATTAAACCACTTCATGCCTGAAATCATGAGTCATAACACTCGAATCAGCTTTCACAAAGATTGAGCATTTCCTATTTATTATACTCATGATACATGGTTTTCAAATTTCAAAATATAAAAGTCCAAGCAGCTATAATATAATATTTTATTTATATACGTATATTATGTTTATAAGTAATGCATTAAATACATATTGTGAGCTATACAGATTATTAAAAAGTAAGTTGTTTAGTGCAAGCATACTGCATAATGCTTTTCATACATTTGTATTAAAATTAATATTATTTAAACAAAGAGAATTAATTTTTTTTTTTAAGAAAACTATAATTTTCAAATTTGTATAAAAAATTCTCCCTCAATTAAAGATCCAAAATCCCACCTCTGTTGTAGCTGCTTTAACAATCACTTTTAATTCTGACCCTGGCCTTTTCTGATACTGAAATTCCAGTGCCAAAACTCAACTTAAAAAAAAAAAATTGAAGGTTGCTAAAGAAATGGGAATCTATAGACCTACCTGTTGGCAAGCTTTCAGCCCAATCTAATATTGTTCTCGAACAGTGCACTGAATGTATTTCAATACTCTAGGTCAAAGTATACCTGTCAGTCGAAGTATCCCCGGTATATGGTATATGTTCTTTCTTTCTTACTTTTATTTTCTTTTGCTGCTTGCTTACTCATTTTATAAATATGTGGTTTTGGTGACAATAAATGTTGGTGACAATAATTGTAAATAAATGTTGAGTACTATTTAAATATATGAACAAAACTTTAAGTAAGCATTTAATGCATGATGGAATTAAGTTAGTCAAATAACAATATGCCTGAAAAGAAAATTGCAAGGAAATCCAAAAGCTTGTGAATTGAAATAAGATTTTCACATTAAATTTACGACACACACATGAAGTGTAGATTAAATATATAAGCGGATGAAGAGGTTTGTTGTCAGATTTCTGAGAAATGGAAGAAACATATGCCCCAATAATAAAAATCTTGTTTACAGTGTGTTTCTAATACAGTAGCATTCAAGAGGATTAGTGAACACCATTACTACATAATTATATACCATTTGTGCCCTTGTGATTAAATCACACAAATTGAAGAACTGTAGAAAAGTTATGATAGAAAATACAACCGATAAGGAAAATCGAAAACTCCAAAATGTTGTTTCATATCATTCAGTACTTATTCTCCAAAACTAAAGAAATGAGGAATGTTACAAGTTCTGTACCAAACAATCGCTATACTCTGAACATATAGATAAACAGGTTTTTAAAAATGTATAGAAATATTTTTATTTACATGTTGTAGTGGACTATATTAGAGAACACTGCTATCCACCATAACTAGGTCTGCTTCTCAGAGAAATTGCAAAAACCCCATACAATTTCGCCCTGTTTTTTAGTTGTTTTTTTTGTTAGCATTTTCAAACCTATGAGTTTTATCGAAACGATAGTTATTTACAAAATTAAAGTCGCTAAAATTCCCCACCTGATGCATGTTTTAACTTTAATTTTCTGAAAAAATATAATAATAATAAAATGGTGTAGGCACTGGAGCGCACTGAAAAACCATAATTTTCCTTAATCGAAGTAATTTTACCAGAAAAATTCTCGTACGAGCTGTGGATTTTCAGGCTTACGATTTCAAGTACCGTGAAGAAACCCTGAGAACGTGTAAAAGTAGCGAACCCGACGTATTGAGTATTATTGGAAATATAATTAAACACTGAGCCAGCCAAAACGAGATGTATCCGAATAAGTATAGTTTTGTTTAATATAAATTTGCTTTCATGAACATATAATGATATTGTGAATTAGCAGTTACCAAGTTATCTTCGCGATATACTAATATAGAACGTTGAACATCCTCATTGCGATTTCTCGCAAGTCTTTAAACAGTTTAACAGCCAATTTCCTCACACGCTATACTAGATTGCGTTTTGGGGGCAACTTTTCGATTTTTTTCGCATAGTTTGGTGGTACCTCCTCCACACAAATAAAACAATGAGTTTTAAAGAAAAAGTCAGGTATAGATGAAGTTGAGGTGATTCAACCTCTTTTTGAGCTCTGTTTACATAAGCAGAAACGTTTTTCGTTTCCGTATTCCCTCCTACTCTTATAGCTGATTTAAATTTGTACGTTACATTTAAATAATAATAGTAATAATAATATTAAAAATAAACAACTACCTAAAAAAAGAAAAAAAAACCGTTCCGTTATGTCGCTTCTCACTCGCTTCAACGAAAGATTCCAACCCCCTTTCTTTTACAAAAGTTGTCTGCATTCCATCTTCCAACGTTTTATCACAAATAGCCCATTCGCTACTTTACATTACTAACACGTAAACGAACTAAATATTACAGGTTCATATTATTTTACAATCTTGCGCCAGGGTGAAATTATAATTATCTTCGAAGAGCCAATCACACGCTGGTGCATGGTGTGGGGTGATATTTCACGAGCCGACGCATGAAATAAAGTGCTCCAAGAAGGTCTCCGCACTGAGCCTAGTAGGGCCTTTTATTAAAAATTTAACATTTATTTGGTAGCAACCAGATCACTAGGAACTAGTAAATTCTTCGACGACCGTAGAATGATAGCTATTATTTACGAGTTGATGTTTACGACGCGAGCGATGTAGGGGCGAGTGCCGGAATTTCTACGTGTGAATATATGCCATTCTACGCGAGTAGAAGACTATACTTTCTCTACGACTTCGATAGTACTCGCAAAGAAAATATATTCTCGCTCGGATGAGGTGTCTTTCTCCTTTACAACGTTACATCTTGTAGAGCCACGTTACGTTCCCTCTTCCGTGTTTCACTGTTGGCTGCATATTCTTCTCTTGGAACTAACTGTGTGTTTGCCTTTCTCCAAACCAATGTTCTTCCGTCAGGTCGAAACACATTGTATTTACTGTCGTCCGAAAATATTAAGTGATTCCACCATTCAATACCATTGTTTATATGCGACTCAGCGAACTCCCTCCTTTTCCTCTTGTTTACCTTATTTATGAAAGGCTTCCTTGTAGCCACGCGACGATATCTTTTTTGTAGAATCACTCGTATTGTTTCTAGATGTACTTCCTTCCTCAGTTCTTTTCTTACTTCTCCAGCCATCTTTGGTTCACTTTATTTGGGGTTATTTTTAATCTGCCTGACAACGATCTCTTCTCGACGGGAAAGTTTATAGGGTTGTCTACTTAGGCGGTGAAACTCAATCCTAACTTTTTTAAATCGCTTGATTATACCATATAGAGTGCTTTTCTTCATATTCAGTTTTTTGCAATTTCACGGCAGCTCTTGCCTTTTTGCGTTATGAAAGATAACCGACGCAGTTCCAAAGAGCTGTTCTTTCCTTTTCGAAGAATTCGTTCAGCGTTCAAGGAGAGACACTAATAGGCTAAATTTTGACAGTGCTTCGATTGACCG